AGAACTGAAGAAGCTTCTCGGATGAGAGGTGAAACGTCTTCAAGCAACTTAAAGAAGTCCAGACGCTTTTCTTTGCAAGCTCCTTTGACAACACTAAACCAGTTTCACGAAACTTAGCAAGCAGTTTGCTAGCTGTAGCATGGGAGATGGGTGGTCCCGTAGGGTGTCTTGTATTGAAATCTGCTGCAATGACCTTGTTACTGCGTTCACCAGATATCAACACAATTTCGATCCGCTCCTCACGTGTTAACCTCTTCGACATGTCAATGGCTGTGAACAAAGATAAACTTGTAAATAACTCATGAAAGAATAAAGTTACGTTGAAACCAAGCACACCACTGTTTTTATTGTGACATTACCAATAAGTTTGATGTGTCACATGACCCTCTTCCTATTGGAAAAACAAAAGTTGTATCCAAGATGGCCGACTTCTAAATGGCCACCATGGTCACCACCCATCTTGAGGAGTTTGCCCCCTCACATATACTAATGTGCCACAAACAGGACTTTAATATCACCAACCATTCCCATGTTATTACGGTGTGTCCATATAAATGGCCCACCCTGTATTATTCCTTTCACAGACTGACAACTGAAAAGGCTCAGTCTGAATCACAGCAGCCCGTGTGTTAAAGCAAATATATCTCTAAGTATAGAGGCACCTAAAATTCTTGGTTTTCCTTTTTGTGAAGGAGACATCAAAGTTTTATCTGTCACATACTTTTGGAAAAAAAATTGGGAATCGGTAAAATATTAGGTATGTCCCAATTCATAGGCCGCATCCTTCTGAGGCCACATTTGTAGGTCTATTACGTCACAGCGACACGACAAGAGCTGTCCAAATTCGGCCCATGAAGACCGCAAAGGCCAGGTCCTCTGAAGGATGCGGCCTATGAATTGGGAAATAGCTGTTGACTTTACCTGCTTATTGTAGCAAAAGTCTGTAAATGCCATAATATGCATGGTTGTTGCTATGGTGATAGTGTTTTTCTGTACAACTTGCAACAGCTGTAGTCCCAGATTTCATCCTGAAAGGACACACAAATGTAATTTCATCAATGAAAACTGCAGAAATAAATACTGTTTGTACCATGTCAACATATCTCAGGTTGCTTCCGCTCTTCCAGCTGTATTTGTTTCATTAGCATTGATACAAACTCAGTGCTGACATTTATAATTCTTCACAGAATAGCTATTGTTCAGGTTTAAACTATTTAGATGTAATTATAGAGTCGTTTTCAGGCCTGAAGGAATCTACAAAATCTGCATGAGTTGCACTTGTAGAATGCTGGGTGGTCAAAATGTGTTTTTATTTTCATATAATTGTAAAATGATTCAATATACTGTCCATTGTTGCTTCTAATATTGTCTCTTTTTTACTCTACATGTTCCAGGGAGATGATGGTTTACCTGTACCTGGATGTTGGAATAAAGTACGTTTGTCACAGCATTGTGTTTTTGCCTGACATGCTAACTTCATGGGGAACATTGTGTGACCTAACAACTAACATTTTGCCTTTTGTTTTTCCTTGCAGTGACGATAACTTTGGAATGGCTTGTGTGATGTACATAGGATATTTATTTTTTTTACTATTACTATTCTATTATACATGGAAAAAATAAATATATATGGCAATTTTGTACATATTGTTTATTTTAATAAATATGACGGTGTGTATGTAATGTTTTTTATATATCTATGCATTGTTTTATATGATTGGCTAAGAAAAATGATAATGTGGCTGAATTTGCATTTTGTGAAGAGAATAATGCTCTTTAACTTATTGCATTATGTTTTGCTCTATTGTGATAGACCATGCTTCACTGGGATGTGGGGCTGGCAACATTTCTAATTTAGCCTTGGAAAGTCTTGGTTGAACTCTCCTCTGACAAAGTGTTGAAAACTATAATAATGAGAGCAAGCACTGCATATAGACTAGTTTAAATTTTACTATATGTTCACACAGGGACAGGAAGCTATTTTAAATGCGCACTTTGAATTTTAGACTGTTGTGCTCATATTAAACCGAAGAACATGAAGACATAAGAGATCAATCTCATGTTTGTCCAGTAACTACTATACTGCAGTGTCACATATTCACTTCCAGCTTTCCTAGGCATGCTGACCACCACAACTCACACTGTAGGGGATACAGTGTGAGTAGATACAAGCTGAAAAAATGATAAATAACTCTAAATATGTTTTATATTTTAGATCCCACCCCTTGCCTCGCTGAAAGCCCTGCATACCCTTGGCCCTTGGCTCAATGAACTTCATGATGTAGTCACCCAAAATGGTTTCACTTCACAGGTGTGTCTTGTCAGGGTTCATTTGTGGAATTTCTTGCCTTCCTTATGAGGTTGGGACCATCGGTTGTGTTGTGCAGAAGTCAGGTTGGTGCATGGCTGACAGCTCTATTTGACAGAACCAATCAGTTAAGTAAAGAGAAACAACAGTCCATCATTACTTTAAGAACTGAAGGTCAGTCAGTCCGGAACATTGCTAAGACTCTGCAGTCGCAAAAACCATCAAGTACTATGATGAAACTGGCTCACATGAGGACCGCCCCAGGAAAGGCAGACCAAGAGTCCCCTCTACTGCTCGGGAAAGAAACACAAGGAATGGACATTAGACCAGTGGAAATCTGTGCTTTTGTCTGATGAGTCCAAATTCAGGCACAATGAACCCGCATGGCTACCACAGCATCCTGCAGTGACATGCCATCCCATCATTTATTCTCTAACAGGACAATGACCCCAAACACACCTCTAGGCTGTGTCAGAGCTATTTGACCAATAAGGAGAGTGATGGAGTGATGGAGTGCTGCACCAGATGGCCTGGCCTCCACAGTCACCTGACCTAAACCCAGTGGAGATGGTTTGGAATGAGATGGAGCGCAGAGTGAAGGCAAAAGGACCAACTAGTGCTCAGCATCTCTGGGAACTCCTTCAAGACTGTTGGGAAACCATTTCAGGTGACGACCTCATGAAGCTCATGGAGAGAACGCCAAGAGTGAGCAAAGCAGTAGTCAAAGCAAAGCGTGGCTATTAGGAAGAATCTACAATATAAAAAAAGTTTTATTTAATACTATTTTGTTTACTATATAATTCCATATTATGTAGTAAACACAAAGGAGAGTGTAACTACCATGATGTCAGCCCGTGAGGTTTGACTCTGGGGATACTGTATTTGGAGTGTAAAATTATCAGCTAATCCTAGCAAGTTTTGGTGGGAAGCTGCATTTCGTGTCAGCAGTGTGCTGGCTTTTAGTGCTAAGTAAAGAACATCAATAAAATAGAATTTCACTCACCAAAACAGAAACAACAACTCTTGTAATATGTAACAAGCCATACTGTTTGTTAGAACAAGCTGCTTCACTTGTTTTTTGCTGTGTAGGATCTTAGTACCATTAGCAAGAATGCAATGCAGCTGCCATATATTTTATTAACTGTATGTTTCAAATCAAATTCTCTGCTGTCCTGCATATTATACATGTAGTTTCATATAGTTTAGAAGTGAGCTAAATGAGAGAGAAGCTGTGTATGGGACAATTAACCTGCAGAAGTTGACTCATGTTATCAGAAGTTTAACATTTTTAGAAGTTTAAAAAAGGGTGTACTCTAAAAGTATTATGTTATTAAATCGAGAAAATAGCTGTTCTGTCTCTTGCATACATACGGCTACAGTATGAAAAAGTATTTGACCTCTTTGTGATATTTATTTATGTATTTATTTTCATATTTGTCTGTAGACGTGATCAGCCACAGTTGTCTGTATCAGCACACAAATCAAAGTAGCAACAACCATTTGGATAAGCCTTATTTATGTAAATTGAAGTTTTTGTAACTGGCTGGCTCTAAGCTGTAAAATTGGTCATTTTAACAGTCGTTTTGGGGGGAAAAGATAAACCTTTAAGTCACAGTTTTTTGGCCGGTCTGTGTTGCCGTTCCTATTCAGCTGAAGAGGTCGCCCATTGCATTATATCCAGACCAAACTTTGCAAAGTGATGAGTTCATCAGTTAGGAGATCTAAACGTAGAGTGCTGTTAAACTGTTTTTAAGTTATCCAGTATTGCAAAGTGCTTTTAACACTTATGTCAAGAAAGAGGGCATCAACCAAGATTTTGTAACAATTTTAATTCCAAGAAGATTGATCCTGTAAACTAAATGTCCAATTGCACAACAGGAAAGTAACAGCTCTGTGTTGCTGCTTTGTGTTATTCCTCTACGTTTAGTTCATTCTAAATAGTTTTGTCAAATTCTCCTGTTTTATGACCCTTGGGTTCGGTATCCTAGTGCCGTTTTTTTTCTAGTATTCACCCCAAACATTGCCACTCTCATTTAAGGCTGCTGCTGCTGCAATCTCCTCATAGTCTCATCCTGTTATGAAGAAAGCTGTAACCTTATTGGACAATGTACATCCTTTTTTTTTATTATCCACAAACACTTTTTGTAACAGCTGTTCTCATTAACCTCATTAACAACAGTGAGCGGATGAAATGAATCCATTATATGCTGCTCTTTGACAAAGCTTTGTGTGTGATGTGCTCTGCCTGGATTTGATGTTGCCATTAGAGATTATTGTTGGATCCTTCCCAGCAAATATTCATTGTGTCATTTTGCTGCACCTAAATTAACTTAGTCACCAGTTAGCCTTGTTTTTGCTCTGATATTTATCATGCATACTTGTGCTCAGATATTTAAAATATTTATTTTGTTCAGTGACAGTCATAATTAAGTTTACATTTATAATGATTTGGACTAAAAATAATTTAAGTGTACCCATTAGTTACAGAGTATCACAATCCAAATGGTAGACCCTGTTTAATCTGCGCTCTAGAGGATTGCATTGTTTTATGTTGTGAGGTTGTTGTTATGTCATTAACTTCAGTGCAATCCAGGTTTGAAGAGGTTTAAAACTGTATGTTAATAAAATACGTGGCATTTTTTTACTCAAATTCTATGCTGTCCTACATATTATAAATGTAGATTAGTATAGTTATCATCACAGACGGTAAAGAACCAGCCGCTGCACTTGTTTTTCCTGTAATGTTTGACAGAGGTTAAAGGTAGCCCTTTGCCAGTAAAATAGGGAAAACTGCGTGAGCAAAAAAAACAAACGGTATACTCTAAAAGTATTCAATTATTCAATCCAAAAAATTAGCTTTTCTACACTCTTACATACACAGTACTGTGAACAAGTATTTGCATCAAGGTATATTTTGTATAGAACTACAAATGTTTATGTCATCAAGTGTTTGCATTGACATGAGTCATATTTAATGCACGTTGGGCTCAGTGCAGATATACACTAAATTGCCAAAAGTATTTGCTCCACTGCCTACACACACATATATATGACCTTGAGTGACATCCCGTTTGTGGCGGGTGGGATTTGTGGTGTGGCTGCGGGGGAGACTGATACACTCGAGCTCAATCAGGTCATCATGCCTCCTCTGCATAAAAGACAAAAGAACTGGGTCCTGACGTTGTTGTCGTGCAGCTGCAAAATTGCAGCCGAGTGTACAGAGAACAAGCAACCAGAATAAAAGAGTGTGTGAAAAGTGTTAAGATGTGGTCGAGTTCGTTGTTCCCATGCCACAACATTTTTAATCCATAGGGTTTAATATGATGCTTGCTAGCTTCTGCAGCTAAACAGCTTCAACTCTTCTGGGAAGGCTTTCCACAAGGATAAGATGTGTGTTTATATGAGTTTGTGATCATTCTACACAGAAGTGCATGTGTGAGATCAGACACTGACATTGCAGTCTTGCATTTGAGTTCACTGTCTCTGCTGTAATTCATCCCAGTGTTGTTCCATCGGCTTGAGGTCAGGACTTACGTTGTAAACTGGTGTGCAGTCATGTTGAAACAAGAAGGAGCCATCTCCCAACAATTCCCACAAAGTTAGGAGAATTAAATTGTCCAGAATCTTTTGGTATACAGTGGTTCCTTGTTTATCGCGGGAGTTACATTCTTAAAATAACCCGCCATAGGTGAAATCCGCGAAGTAGCCAACTTTATTTTTTGCAATCATTATAGATGTTTTAAGGCTGTAAAACCCCTCACTACACACTTTATACACTTTTCTCAGACAGGCATGAACATTTTCACACTTTCACTCTTCTTTAAACACTCTCAAAGTTCAAACCTTCGTAGAGAAGTAAGTCCAGTATTATAGAATGAAACCAAAGATCCAACCCTGTTTTCAGGTCCAACTACAAAGAAAGGAAATACAATCTATGTTTGTTTTCAACAGTGTCTTGCAAACAAGTTCAGGACACTAGGTAACACTGTAATATGCCCGGTGACTAACAGCATGATTCCTCTGTAATTAAAAGGAATTTCCGTGTATTTTATTTGAAATTACAATGTAATTATATTTATATACACATAGAGTTAGACCTCTACAATAAGTAGGGAGCAAGTCAGGCTTTTATGGGAAACAAATAATTAAAGTGCTTAGGAAAAGTGCTTAGGAAATTGTGCAGTACTTAAAATTACTTAAGTATGAAATAAATATAATCTAGCAGCTAAATCTAGCTTAATTTTGAGATATTTTACAGGAAATGAGACAAAAATTATACTGTAAGTACTAAAACTATAGGAGAAATGTATATATGTATATATTGACTATTTAGCCACTTTTATGGCTGGAGTAAATCAGAACTTTAGCAGCAGGAAGTAGGGAAGAGATGTCCAGTACATAAGTTCAGTCGAAATGTTAATATTTCTGCTGCTCTGTTATTTTTATTAAAACTGTGCTCATGTTTAAAGGGTCAACATCCTTTCCAACTGGCAAAGAAGTAGCACTACTGCAGATGATCTCCCACAAGCAACCAAAAGGAAAACTTTGGATATAGTGTTTGCAGTTTTTACCCAGTTGGCTTTTCAACTTTTTCCTGCAGGCTGGGCACAGGGCTAGTAGTGTCAGAGACTCTGGTGGCTATGCTCTGCTGAACACAGTAACCTCAAAAAGACTGGATAGTAGAACATTTGCTCCATGGTGTAGTTGGTCATTGAAGTGTTTCTGGACAGAACAGCAATGCGACTATCACAACCACAGAGAGCTAGAGGTCGAGACTACCTGCTGATCTGTTCCACTGACTCATCTATTTATCACCTAAAAAAAGCATGGTCACTTGCAATGTGTTGTGTTTGATTTGAAATCATTACCGTAACTGTGATAAAGAATTCAGAGCAGCTCACAGAGCAGATATATGCCATGTGTTTCCATGAAAAACCAAAATGCAAAGGGAGACCCACTTGATGATTCCTTACTGATACTAGTTGACACACTGCCTTTTTAAAAAGAAAATCCCTTTAACTGCAGCTATGACCATTTTTGAATGATTGTGCTGTATGTATGATGTGTGATACCAGCATCGCACATCATGTTTGTTCTCATATATGATATTTTTTACTTTTTTGTATGAACGCCATGTTCACTGCTGTATATGTATGTATTGTACAAGATGAGAATTTAATGTATAATTGTACGTAGCGTGTAAATGGAGTGCATGAATTAAACATCTTTTAAGTAGTGAATACGCATCACAGTTCTGAAAGGGTGGTATTCATATCTTGACTAATGATTTCTTGAGAAATGTATAATTTGTAAAATACTTTGACCTATTGTTTACCAGAAATTACATAATTTTAACATTTGCATCTTCCATATGTCCAGCCCCATCACTTATTCTGGCTCAGAAAAGTCACATTTGTTACCCATTATATTGAAATGTAATTACTCTTTTTCCATCTAAAAACAACACAGCTTAAATCTTTTTGCTCATTTGTTACTGTACATTGAGATAGCATAAAATGACTTGTCAGCATTTCACCTTCCTGTTATTGTAGTTCAGATGTACAGAAGCATTCCATGTCATCCTGACAGCTGCCATGTAAACAGACTCGGGTCAAAGTCGTATTTTATTTTATGGGGATTTTTCAGTTTTGGAGTTCATTAGTAAAAGAATGATGTTTGATTTTTTTCATTGTGTACAAGTGCACCTGGAAAATTATAGTTATATTTATTAAAATTTAAAACGAAATTATGAATCACGTAGCTTCAATCAATATTATTTTAAACATAAATCATAAGTGTCAACACTACGGAAGCGTAGAGCTGCCATCCAGGCAAAAGAAAATTCGAGCTATATGACATTATAACATGAAAACTTTATTGTATATACTCACATTTGAACAACATAATATCACATATTAAAACATACATAATTATCACGTTATAACAAAAATGATAACTATATAAATTTTATATTGTAATAATGTGATAATATGTTGTTCAAATGTGAAAAGTATATTGTTAGAACAATAAACTTTTCACGTTATAATGTGATATGGCTCTATTTTTCTTTTGCCTGGCTGGCAGCTCTATGCTTCTATGTAATGCAGCTTCAAAAAAAACCCCAATACTAGTAAAGAAAAGACTTCTATCACATTTATTTCTTTTCTGACAGTGCTGTCTATGAAATAATGTTGTTGTTTCATTTAAATGGGTTAAATATTGTGTTTGTTTTCTTTGGTTGTCAAATAATGTTGTTTATTAGCTAATCATATGCTGTTTTGTTTATTTGATTTTTTTTTTTTTTGAATTGGTGTTTTATTTATTTAACTGTTTGTCTATTAGATCTGGATCTTTTGTCTAAAACTGCATCCTCCACCAAGTCCATTTTTGCAATCTCCAAATAACCTTCTGGTTGTGCAATGTATATTGTGTATTATATAATCAGTTTTATATGTTTAGTTGCATCATTGGTTTATCTGCTTATAAATCTAATTACATTTGTCCCTTAGCTGTACTTATTAAGGTTTTGTAGACATGCAGCCCCCATCCACATGATGCCCCAGTTATACAGGCCTTTGTACCAGTCACTGACCCCCCGACAACCACCTGTTGCTAGGGAAAATGTGTAATGCCCAACTAGTTTGCAAAACCAGTGGACTTATCTACAAGCTCTGGTTAGCTACTTTCCTAGCTGTAGTGAAACTATGAAGAGGGCAACACAAACAGGAAAGTTGTACCTCCACCCAGTAAGACAACAGTTTTCAGAAACCACTGCCAACCAGTCAGGAAACAAACATTTTCCTCTGGTAATTTGTGACTTTATCAAACCCAGTATCCAGCAGGAACTCTTTGGCAATATGTGCATTACTTAAGATGATACACTTCAATAACCTGATCACTTAAGCTGCAGTGTCCTGAGTTCTCAGCCATAAGGCAGAAGATATAATTGTTTGATGATTTGTTTAAAAGTACTTGTTCTAATTTATGTTACAGTTTTCAGCTATGTTTTCTTTCAACTTGCATTCAATATGTTTCCCCTTTTTTGTGCTGCAACAGATTTTGTATCTAAAAAATATTTAGCGCTTTCTGTTTTAAGCCTCTACATTTCTGTTTTTTGACTTTATCTGATTTTTTGTTTGCATGGTTTATTCAAAGTACCAATTTATTACTGATACGTTGTTGCAACAAAAGGCTAATGACTAATCTTGTTGCAGGAATTTGTTTTATGCAACATAAGAACAATGTGAACATATACAATACAGGTTTTGATTAACCATCTGTAAGTTCTTCTAGAAAAGCTGAAAAGTAGTACTTTGCCAACAATTGCATTGTGAATTTATCATGTAAAGCTCTAACCCAGCAACATGTGTATGTAACATCTATGTGGATGCTGGAGTCGATATAAAAGCCATTACAAGAACTCCAGGAAGCTTAGAGAAATTCACAGAATCCAAGTATTTCACAAAGGTGATCCAAGACATTGAGGTAGAGGTATTCATACTAAAAGTTTAAAGTTCTTTGATAATGACAATTCCCCACAGAGCTCTTTACATCAAGCCCTCACACATTCTGCGGTGGGTTTTTTCTTGCTGTCTATTTAAATTAATATATATTAATAGCTATTTTAAATGAATTGGTGCATAAACAGTTAATTTACTTTACTTCAAAGTATAATTCTTGATATATAATTTCTTTGATTTGAAAGTTTGAGACAGAGAGGACGTGGGCATTAAATGTAGAATTTGCATGCTACTGTTTAGCCTGTTTATTTTTTTCTTATTTTGGTAATAGATCATTAGATGTACTGTCCATTTAATATTTTTCCCCAGCAAAGTTAAAAGATATGTGTCTGTGCTACCATGACACTAACCTGAATTGTGTCATGGTAGAAATTTCCGTGACACACAGCAATTTGTTAATTTAGGGTGGAGTCAGAAGAGAATGTTGATTTTGCTTTTGTTTTCCAGAGGAATGTTTTTCATTTTTATAATCCTAAAAATGGCAGCTGTTGTCACTGATTGACACAGATTCACTGTTCAATTCAACGTCGAAGCAATTTGTCACTGACTCAGAATAAAGAATTTTACTTTAAATAGAATTATGTGTGTCTATGTATGGAGTCAACTTCTCTGCAGTAATAATTCAATTTTCAATTCAATTTATTTAGACAGCGCCAAACAGTCGCCTCAAGGTGCTTTATATTGTAAGGTAGACCCTACAATAATACATACAGAGGAAAACTCAACAATCATATGACCCCCTATGAGCAGCACTTTGGTGACAGTGGGAAGGAAAAACTCCCTTTTGACAGGAAGAAACCTCCGGCAGAACCAGGCTCAGGGAGGGGCGGGGCCATCTGCTGCAACCGGTTGGGGAGAGAAGGAAGACAGGATAGAAGACTTGTGCAGAGAGAGCGAATGTCAAGTGACAGTGCCACCCAAAGGAAAGGAATATAACTGATAGGCAGGCTAGCAAACATAATAACGTGGTCTAGGAATCCATAGAGTGGAAGGGATGGTGGGAGAAGAGATCAAAGGAAATTTCTGACAATGAAAGACCTTTTTAGATGAATGAGTTGAACCCATTGACCGGTTGGCTCAACTCTGAACTGAAGCTCTGACAGTGACGCATGCATGGATTTTAAGACTTGTGGTGATGGCTTGACGACTCGTAAAAGCTTACCATATTTTCACGACCATAAGGCGCACTTAAAAGTCTTAGATTTTCTTCAAAAAGTGCG